CAAACACTGTTCAGTGGAAGATCACAAAGTCATGGAGCTGCTTTGGCTGGAAGTGCTCGAGCAGGTTTACAGCTCTGTGTTGGATACTCTGTGTTGGATACTCTGTGTTGGATACTCTGTGTTGGATACTCTGTGTTGGATACTCTGTGTTGGATACTCTGTGTTGTATACTCTGTGTTGGATACTCTGTGTTGGATACTCTGTGTTGTATACTCTGTGTTGGATACTCTGTGTTGGATACTCTGTGTTGGATACTCTGTGTTGTATACTCTGTGTTGGATACTCTGTGTTGTATACTCTGTGTTGTATACTCTGTGTTGTAATAGTATTATAGTAGTATTATTCTCACACTCGTGGCTCATGTTGGATTTTTACAAAAACAAAAATCTGAAAACATCTGAAAGAACAGATGAGTATTATTACTACTACTGCTACTACTACTACTGCTACTACTACTGCTACTGCTTGTACTACTGCTACTACTACTACTGCTGCTACTACTACTGCTACAGCTACTACTACTACTACTACTACTCCTACTACTACTACTACTACTACTGCTGCTACTACTACTACTGCTACTGCTACTACTTCTGCTACTACTACTACTACTACTACTACTGCTACTACTACTGCTACTGCTACTGCTACTACTACTACTACTGCTACTGCTACTACTACTTCTGCTACTACTACTACTGCTACTACTACACACACACAAATTGGACTAGATATTTGAATGAAGTGTCTTGCCCAAGGACACAACAACAGTAAAGCAACCAGTCGATCTGACCCCTCAACCCACAACGTGTATGTGAGGAGCAAGATTTGAACCATCAACCTTCAGCCGCAGCCTCAATACAGCACTTTAGAAAAACACTAGCTACAAACACGCTCACAATACATACTATTATTAACACACATTGGTCTCTCTCTGGTCTCTCTCTGGTCTCTCTCTGGTCTCTCTCTGGTCTCTCTCTGGTCTCTCTCTGGTCTCTCTCTGGTCTCCCTCTGGTCTCTCTCTGGTCTCTCTCTGGTCTCTCTCTGGTCTCTCTCTGGTCTCTCTCTGGTCTCTCTCTGGTCTCTCTCTCTGGTCTCTCTCTGGTCTCTCTCTGGTGTCTCTCTGGTCTCTCTCTGGTCTCTCTCTGGTCTTTCTCTGGTCTTTCTCTGGTCTCTCTCTGGTCTCTCTCTGGTCTCTCTCTGGTCTCTCTCTGGTCTCTCTCTGGTCTCTCTCTAGTCTCTCTCTGGTCTCTCTCTGGTTTCTCTCTGGTCTCTCTCTCTGGTCTCTCTCTGGTCTCTCTCTGGTCTCTCTCTGGTGTCTCTCTGGTCTCTCTCTGGTCTCTCTCAGGTCTCTCTCTGGTCTCTCTCTGGTCTTTCTCTGGTCTTTCTCTGGTCTCTCTCTGGTCTCTCTCTGGTCTCTCTCTGGTCTCTCTCTGGTCTCTCTCTGGTCTCTCTCTGGTCTCTCTCTGGTCTCTCTCTCTGGTCTCTCTGGTCTCTCTCTGAGCTGGTATCTCTCTGGTCTCTCTCTGGTCTCTCTCTGGTCTCTCTCTAGTCTCTCTCTGGTCACTCTCTGGTCTCTCTCTAGTCTCTCTCTGGGTTAGGGTGTGTGTGTGTGTGTGTGTATGTGTGTGTGTATGTGTGTGTGTGTGTGTGTGTGTGTGTGTGTGTGTGCGCGTGTGTCTGTGTGTGTGTGTGTGTGTGTGTATGTGTGTGTGTGTGTGTCTGTGTGTGTGTGTGTGTGTGTGCACTTGTTTTCAACTCCTGGTGGGTTCCATAACCTGAGATTCCACTCACGTCATGGGGACTGGTTTTACGTGGTGGGGCCCGAACACCGGACCCCACTGGTCCAAGCTTAATAATCAATGGGTAATGCTTTTCTAACGGTCCTTATGCAGTCTCTGTAAAAATATGGAAAGGACCCCTGGAGGTTTACTTTCCTGAAAAAAGTGTGTTATGTGTCGGAACCCTGGTGGTGGGTTGCGGGATATCAAGGAGGGGCACACTGGGGCAATTTCAGTCCAGCAGGCTGGAGCCAATCATGGAGCAGCACAACAGAGGCTGGAGCCAATCATGGAGCACAACAGAGGCTGGAGCCAATCATGGAGCAGCACAACAGAGGCTGGAGCCAATCATGGAGCAGCACAACAGAGGAAATCAGGTGTCAGGCTAGAAAAAGGTGCAAGTGTGTGGTTCATTAGGCTGCAGCCAATCACACTGAAGCAGCAAACCACTGAAGCGCACGATTACAAATTGTTGTTTGTACAAGTCGACTCAGATTCGGACGTAACTGTCAAGAAAAACCTGTAAAAAGTATGACTACAAGTCATGACTGCAGCTGCAAATTGTTTATATACTGTTCAATGATTTACTAGAAAAATTATTTGTTGGCTTTGTGCAGCTTAGTCAAGAGTCCCAATTTGAGGTTTGATGAAGTCCAGTCGACTCAGACTGTTCGGACGATTGTAACTGTCAAGAAGAAACCTACCGGAGGCATCAAAAAAGTATGGCATCAAGTCACGGTTTGTCAAAAGAAAAAAATCAAAAACACATGATTTTACTTAGGCAGAAATGAAGAAGTCAGGTTAAGTAACGAAGCAAAAACCGCGGGAAACTGAAAACAATTAAGGTTTCCACTTTAACCATGTGATTGATGTCAGGTCTGTGGCTGGATATGATGGAAACAAATCATACAAGACTCCATCCTTGCCCTCAAACAGACCCTCAGAAGCGGCAAGCCAAGTGATGAACACTGCTTTTTGAGAGAGGTGGAGTCTGTGTTTCTCTGCTGCCCTACTGCTCCGGCAGCCAGTGAACTCCGGACTGCTCCCTCTGACTGAGGACGTTAGAGCCATGCATGCACATATTGAGGTATGTCGACCTGAATATGTGCAAACCCTAATAAGTGAGCCAACGTCTAAGCATTGGTCTAAACTGGCAGTTTTGACTCTTTGTGAGGTCATCATTTTCAATCGAAGAAGGGAAGGTGAGGTTTCAAAGATGCCACTGACAGCCTTTACCTTAAGAAGTAAGACTGGGATCCATTCTGACATTGCTCTGGGACTGTCCCAACTTGAGAAAAAGCTGTGTCAGCATTTTCAACGCATTGAAATTAAAGGGAAAAGAAGTCGGAAAGTGCCGGTTCTTTTGACTCCTGAAATGATTGCTTCGATGGAGGTGCTGGTGGAGAACAGAAGGGCCTGTTCCATCTCTGACCATAACCCATACTTCTTTTCCCGCCCGGGCGCAGACACCCACATCAGGGGATCAGACTCCCTACGCCAGGTAGCCAAAGAATGTGGTGCGGTGCATCCAGAGATGCTATCCTCAACCAAACTTAGAAAGCACATAGCTACTATGTCTACAGTTCTCAATATGAAAGAGAATGAGATGGACATACTTGCCAACTTCCTCGGCCATGACATTCGCATCCACAGGCAATATTACAGACTACCAGAGGGGACACTGGAGCTGGCCAAAATCAGCAAAGTGTTGATGGCCATGGAGCAGGGAAGAGTGACGGAATTCGAAGGAAAGAGCCTCGACCAGATACAAATTGAGCCTGAAGGTAATTCTTGATATTATTAAAATATGTATGATTTTTTTCCCCTAAAGGCCACTTGTATTTTTATTTTCTGTGCGACAGGGAGAGCAGTAGAGATCCTCTCACAAACGGACGGGCTAAAAGAAACTTCAAGCGGAGAACCTTCAACCATTCATCCAGATGCACCCCATGGTAGTGGCAGTGCCCCTTCTGGTAAGTGTACCAGGTGGGGGATTACAGCCAGGCTGCTTGGTCCTAACCCTGGGAGTGTATATTGCTAATATATTTTTATTTCTCTCCCTAGAACGTGTAAGAAAGCCATGGTCTGCATCTGAGGTGAAGGCTGTGGAGAAGACCATGACACCTTTCATACAGACTGGAAAGGTCCCTGGGAAGTCTCACTGCCTGGCCTGCATTAATGCCTCACCAGATGACCTTAGACATCGGACATGGAGTGGCATTAAATTCTATGTCAAAAATAGAATCACTGCAATTCGAAAACAAAATCTAAAATAAAATTCCTTTAAAATAGTTGTTTGGTTTCTATTGACTGTTTTGTATTACTTAAAGTAGTCCCAGTAAAAAAAGATTATGTCTATGGGTCCCATTCTGAACGGCCCTGTCAAAGGGACCCACCAGGTAACAAAAACGTGTATGTGTGTGTGTGTGTCTGTGTGTGTGTGTGTGTGTGTTTGTACACTTTGATAAAATCTTGGTATTTCGTCTCATTATAAACTTCATCCCTGCCCCGGACTCTGACCAGATTATTAGATTAGATTAATTTATATTAGATTATTTTTTATGTTGAACCTGCACAACACATATTGTTAAATCAAAAGTCCGGGATTGAAAACGGGGGGTTGTTATGATCCTAGTCACAGTCAGTGAGACGAAATACCGAGATCTGAGGGAGTCCAGAGCTTCCTTTCTCTGTGGACTCAGTGTTTCAGCACAAACTGTTACAACAAGAAGAACAGAGAGAAGGAGACAAGGGGGAGTGTGGAGGTCTGCAACAAGGCTTTGTTCCAGAGGGAGGGGTGAGGCTGAGGGGGAGGGAGGAGAGGGAGGAGAGGGAGGAGAGGGGGGGGGGCAGGGGGCAGGGGAGGGACCGGAGCGTGGAAACTCTGAGTCACTATCCTCTAATCATTACAACAGAGACAGCGGAGAGAGAGGGTCCAGTCCTGGTCCTCACTGTGCAGACTGTGGGAGAGAGACCAGAGAGAGACCAGAGAGAGACTAGAGAGAGACCAGAGAGAGACCAGAGAGAGACCAGAGAAGAGACCAGAGAGAGACCAGAGAGAGACCAGAGAGAGACCAGAGAGAGACCAGAGAGAGACCAGAGAGAGACTAGAGAGAGACCAGAGAGAGACCAGAGAGAGACCAGAGAGAGAGACCAGAGAGAGACCAGAGAGAGACCAGAGAGAGACTAGAGAGAGACCAGAGAGAGACCAGAGAGAGACCAGAGAGAGACCAGAGAGAGACCAGAGAGAGACCAGAGAGAGACCAGAGAGAGACCAGAGAGAGACCAGAGAGAGACTAGAGAGAGGCCAGAGAGACCAGAGAGAGACCAGAGAGAGGCCAGAGAGAGAGAGACCAGAGAGAGACCAGAGAGAGACCAGAGAGAGACTAGAGAGAGGCCAGAGAGACCAGAGAGAGACCAGAGAGAGGCCAGAGAGAGAGAGACCAGAGAGAGACCAGAGAGGGACCAGAGAGAGACAGAGAGACCAGAGAGAGACCAGAGAGAGAGAAAATCCAAAGTAAAAGCTTCAGAGCTTCTCTCTCTGCTCTCTCTCTGGTCTCTCTTTGGTCTCTCTCTGGTCT